CTTTAGCTCAGAGCTCCCCGGTGAGTCCCCTTGCCCACCCATCTGCCCTGGGAGCGCCGCATGTACATACCCCTCCTGTCCCCTCAGGTCCCCTCTTGCCCCCGCCAGGACTCCCCCATTTGGGAGGGATCCTCCCGGCCCCCCCAGTGACTGTCCCTTCCTGTCCCCTGCAGATTACACCTGGACCAACGTGGCACGCCTGGCACTGGGGGCTGGGGTCCTGGTGCTGCTGGCACTGATCATGGCCGAGGCCACATGCAGCCGCCGCCGTGGGCTGGAGCCCCGCTAGGATGGGGCCAGCCCAGCCCCTGCACGCAAGGCTTCCTGCCACTGCTGTCAGGGGGCAGCAGGGCTGAATTAACCACTCTCCAGCTGCACAGGCATCCGTTGCTCACATTCGTTTATTATTTTAAAACACTTGACAAACACATCACACCATGATCTATATATATAAATTTACTTTTATGCAGATATAAATTTATATATATAGGACCTTTAAACCTCTGTATACTCAGGACACAAAGTTCCAGAATAGCTTCACTGGCTACAACAAAAGTATTTTTGTTATGGAAACACAAAAGAGGAGGTGCAAATATCAAAAAACGCGGAAAAAAGAAATTAAAAACAAGTGCAAAATGAACGAAAGTGCAAAAAAGCTTCTGTTGTCATAATCACGCTCCTTCCAAAATACGCACCCTCCCCCGCCTTTCCGCCCCCCAAGGCCGAGGAGCCTCAGGCCCAGAGGGAAGGGCTGGATAGGAGGAAGGGGCTCAGGCTGCAACCCTCGGGTCCCCCCCCACCCTGCACCGAGGGGGTCCCCTCCCAGAGGTTGGGGAGTGAGGGGCAGAGGAGCAGAAGCCACCAACTCACCTCCCCGCCCCGCTCCCTCCTCTTCGACAACGCCCCTCATTGCACTCAGTCCCCTGATTTGCCTCCACATGTGGCAGCAGCCTGCAGCCCTCCTCAATGCCCTGGAGGATTTGTTTCTTTTCTAAAAGTGCTTGCGCTCGACATGGAAAGCCCCAGCAGAAGGCAGAGGCAGGAAGGGACGCTCCAGGGAGGGGGGCACGGCTGCCCTCCTCGCTGAGCCCTTACAGAAATGGAGACCTTGGCCTGGCACCATCAGGATGCTGCCCATCTCCATGAGGAGGGAGCAACGCCTTCCTGAGAGGCTCCACCTGCTTCCACACACCTGGCCTCACCTGCAGAGCTGCCCCAGAAGAGACCCCATGCCTGCAGCTGGAGCATGCAGTGGGACATCTCCCACAGCTCCAGCTCAGCCCCGCCAACCCTGTCTGCAGCAGTGTGGGCAGAAATGACAGGAACACAGGCCTGGGGGCCTCTGCTCAGAAAAACCACTTGACTTGAAAAATTCTTCATCAACTTAGAAATTTTGGCTGCAGTCACATCTCTCAGAAAGACCCCAGCGAGGAACCTGTGAGCCAGACTTGGGCCTGTTGCGCTCTCCGGCTTCTTGGTGACACGGCAGTGGACATCCCTGCGAGGAGTTTGGCCAGGCAACTGGGGAAGGATGTAAAACCTCAGCACTTTCGCCTTGGGCACAGCTGCCTTCGATGCTCCCTGAGGAGGACTTCCCCGTCAGTGCTCCGTGGAGAAGGAGCCAAGGCCAGGGGTGCAGCAACCCTTCCTTCTCCTGGCTTCCCTGCTGGGACCAGAGACAACTTCTGCTCGCGGAGGATGCACAGCCCAAGCCCCTGGGACCAGAGCCTGCCGCCTCCACAGCCACAGAGATCACCACATGAAAACAGTGATGCACCAACGGGAGGGGAAATGGCAGTGTGGCACTTCCGCACACACCCGTCCACACGCACACACACGATGCTTTGGGTTTGGTTTGGTTTTAAAGGAAACAAGAAGAAGGTGAGAAGTTTTAACAGTAAATAGCCCTTGACCACCTACAAACCCTGTAACTCTCACCCAGCTGAATCCAGCAGCTCTGTACCCACACAGCTGAGTCGGCCCTGGAGGCTGGCAACCGCTCAAGACAGCAGGTAAGCGCATGCGACAGAGCCCCACGCACCTCCCATCACTTTTCCCATGGGGCTGGTTATCCTGGATGCTGCTCCCTGTGCAGAGCTCAGACCCTGCAGAGACCTGGGGTCCAGCTGCGCTGCCAAATCCGCAGCCAAGGGGGGGCACCCCAGCAGCCCTGCCCAGTTTGCATCCGCTCTCTTTGAGAGAGGTCAAAATTGCCCAGGCACGGCAGTACCCCATGGGCACAGTTGCCCACTGATGCCCGTGGCCGGAGCATGCACGCACCTCTGCCTGTTTGCTGGTGCCCAGGCAGAGTGTGGCAGAGCTCACCACCCCTCACTCTCCAGGGCAGCCCGGTGAGACAAGGCTCTCCAGCCTTCAACACCAGTTCAGATCTGACACCTGGGTGACAATTCCTCTCCCAGCAGCCAGGGAGAGAGCTTAGCCACTTTCCCAGTGGGGGGAATAACTTCAGGCGAGGGAACGGAGCAGATGAGGACACTTTCATAAGATGTCTCCTTATAAGCTCAATAACCACATCCTGTGCAAGGGAGCCATTCTGGTCCAGATCGCACCTGGAGAGGTCTCAGCACGGTTCACGCAGAGAATCACAGCTGAAGGTCCCAGGGCTCCTCCTCTTCCTCCTCTCCCCCAACACACAGTGGCCCAGAAAGACTCCCCATCTGCTGAAGAGACTGACTTCAGGCCCATCAACTGCGGATCAAGGGTGACCTGGGGGAGCAACTGTAGGACCCAGGGACGTGGCTGTTCGTCCCCACTCCCCCTCTCTCCACAGCTGCCCACACTGCCATGCTCGAAGAGATGGACGAAAATAGAAAAAGAAAGGAGAGGGAGAGCTGCCTAAATCAAACCCAAACACCAACAAAGCCACTACATGGACGAGTCACAAGTCCTGTGTGAAAAGCAAGCAGCAGACATTTTGAGCAGGTCAAATGTGACCCCAAATATTCAATAACAAAGAGTCAAAATGCTACATTTCCATTGGAAGCCTGGAACAGATTGACCCAGGTGTGACAATGGCTCCCAAGGCAGTGCTGCTCCAGGACACATTGCTGGTGTGCCTGCTAGGATCCCTTCATCCCTGTCTTTGGGCATGGGGAAAGGGGGAAAAATTGTTTTGCTATTGATGGGTCATTCCTTGGAACGGGAAAGAAAGTCGATGTGGGACTGGGATCACATCACTGCAGGCCAGGGAGAGACCGTGGGGCAGGCAGCCGCCCTGCAGCACCCCACTGCCGCACCCCTGCTCCCACAGCACCCATGGCAGGCGCACACAGGAGCAGGACAGAGCATGGCAAGAGCAGCGCGGGCGCTGCCAGGGGACACGGGGACATCAGAAGCTGCCTGGGAACCCCCAGCACACTGGCGTTCCTGGCGCTGGAGTCCTAGCCTACTTGGCCTCTCCTCCAGCCCAAGGACAGTGTTACATGGGCATTCCCAAAGCGCCTGCACCCTTGTTAAAAAGGTGCTATGTTACTCAAAGGACAGAAAAGACCCCAAAACAGTTAACTGCTAAATCTTTCAGCTCTGCAGGTAAGGAATGCAGGGACAGCAGAAGATCCTGCTCTTCAGACAGAAGAACCTGGGGGCCTTGAGAGGGCAAAAAAGGGGGAGAAGGTGGCTTGGCAGGAGCACGTCAGCCAACTCAGGAATGCTGCCTGAAGTGAATTGTGGATCTGCCAACGGAGGAATGGATGCTTCTTGTCCTTGGCAGCTGTCTCTGATCTAGAAAGGGCCTTGCTCCTAACACCAGAGAGAGCCTGACTCTCCTTTGCAGAGGATTTTTTTAATTGCTGCAAGGGGATTGAGTTAACCAAGCATCCTCTCTTGCAGAGTTGTGCTGGCCAAGACAGCCTGAAGCACAAGAGGAAACGGAGCTTGGTCTGCACCCACTGCAGGGCCCTGGGCTGCTGCACCACAGTAAAGAGGAGTAAAGCACAGATGCTTGTCGTGGGCAGAGCAGCAGCCAGGACACATTGCTCCCGGAAGGGGCAGGAGCTGGGCTGCTGGTTCCCAGCGTGGGGAAGGGGCAAAGCAAAGTCATCATCCGGCCTGAAAAGGGAAAGTCAAAGGAACCCAGACAAAAGGGCAAAGTGAGCAGAAGCTCCTTGAGAGCATCCTTTGGAAATGACGTCAGCACAAGCCCCTGCAGAGGAACACATAGAGGACAAAAAAACAAAACCAAAAAACCTCTCTCTCAGCTGCTGAGCAAAGCCAAGACCGGCCTCAAATGGGTGCAAGCACGTATGCAGGCAGTCGGTCCCTTCCCTTACTGGGGTGACTTGAGCAGTGGCGTCAGCCCCCCACAGCTGCTACACCCTCCGCACTGCTCCCCGGTCCCTCAGCACCCCCCTGAATCAGTGCAGTCACAGCAGGACATAGGGGCAGCTGTCGCGCTAAGGCAGGCTCATCCCATGTCCACCCCCCATCCTTGCGGCTGCCCCTGAGGCTTGGGGTCAGC